TTTTTGAGACAGGGTCTCCCTGTAGCCCCAGCTGTCCTGGAACTCACTATGTAGACCAGGCTGGCCTTGAACTCACTATGTAGACCAGGCTGGCCTTGAACTCACAGAGATCCCCCTGCCTCTGCCTCCTGACTGCTGGGATTAGAGGCATGCGCCACCATGCCCGACTTAAGGTGGCTTTTAATATGCCGGATCTGTGCCTTTTCTTTCAGCCCCCAGAGATCAGTGCTTGAAAGTAGGAAGCCCTAGAGTTTTGCCCTAGAAGGTTAGGGGTTCATTCTTTTTTTAAAGTATTTATTGTTTTTATTTTTATGTGTGTATGTGTATTGCCTGCATGTATGTAAGTGCACCCATGTTATGCAATACCCCTTGGAGGGCAGAAGAGGCTGTCGGATCCCCTGGAACTGGAGTTACAGACAGTTGTTAGCTGCCATGTGGGTTCTGGGATTCAAACCCAGGTCTTCTCCAAGAATAGTCAATGTTCTTAGCCACTGAGCCATCTCTCCAGCCCAGGGGTCCACTCTTGCTGCTACTTGGTAAGCTGGTCATAAAGCATTTTAAGAGGGAAATTGGTTGAACCACCTTCCTGCCCCAAGTCCTTATCTGAATAAGACAGGTCTCACATGAGGCCAATGGAATGTACTCAGAACATATTACCACTGCCTAAAAGAATGTCCAAAAGGTAACTGACAGTAGTTTACTGAGCACCCTTGGGATCCCAGGTACAGTACAGGGTTGCTATGAGAACAAGAGAGCATATATTATACAAAGTGTCTATGAAGTAGATGTGTGATCTTCACATTAAAGATTAAACAGGCCCAGGAGAAACTTGCACTTTTAATCCTGGCTCACAGAGGCAGAGCCAGCATTAAACCTGATTGACTCAAAAGCCAGTAATCTAACCATGTCCAGCCTTAATCACACCTCTTATATTTTGTGGAAACTTATCAGACAATTCATGGACACTTGGTAGATGGTAAGCAGATATGCTGTAGGCATGTGCAGTTCTCAAGTCTTCTGGCTTTGCCCCTGCATTCATATAGGGCCCCCAACACCCACTTCACCTAAGAGAAGTAAGGAAGCCCTCACCCTTGAAGTAAGCCACACCGAGGAGGAGGATGCTGACATCACTAGGCATTTCCCTTGTGGACCTGGCAATTTTCCCTTTCATCTGGGCCTGTACCCAGTTGTTAATCTCCTGAAGGTCCATGCGAGGGTTGCCAGTCAGGATCCTGGGTCTGGTCCCATATGATTTCTCCAGTGGTGCAACAAAGCTGGATTTTATCCGCAGCTCTGAGAAGTAGAGCAGAGGTTAGCATGTGAAAGCTGAACCAGCATTCTCTTTGAAAGCCTGCCCAGCCCAGGCTTCCTGCCCAGCATCTTCCCCTGACATGACGGGGCATCTGCTGGCTTGTCCAGGCTCTGGACAGGGAACAATAGATCTCACCCACTGCGGTTTCTCTTCTTGTTACTGCCTTCCCTAGACCCTCCAGTTGTCTCTCACAGCCCACTTCCTCCAGAATTCTGATCCTCTTTGGGTTCATGGGCCCCTTTCCAGTGCCAGGCCTGGCTTGAGCACACACAATCTATTGTTTAGACAAAAACCCCAGCATGAAGTATATAGCCCCACACTCAGACAGCCCAGTCTAAAAATGCAACTGAGTGTCAGGCACAACAGCACAAGCCTTCAGTTCCATCACTTGGAAGGCAGAGGCATAACTGTCAGAGACCAACTTGAACTACACTGAGCTAGGGGAGAGGGAAGGGGGTACAAAGGCTACTGACTCCTCTCAAACACAATTCGGGAAGCACTCTTGAGGTTCTTCTCAGGGGCAGTAACGGTGGCAAGGAGTTCCTTGTAGGTGCCGTGGATGTCAGGGTTACTGATCAAGTCATAGTAGAGAGCCCGGTGAATGACGGATTCTGTCCGCTGTTCAGCACCTGCCAGAGAGAAAAGGTGGGGGCTTGATAGCTGTCCAGTGGGCCATATCAGGACAGGAATATTATACTCTTAGTATTTGTCTTCTGAGAGCCTGAATAGGCCAATATTTCAGACATTCTAGGTAGGCAAAGAGCTTGAGAGCACTGAAAGAAATAGTAACTGCATTCCTAAGATAGGCCAAAGCATCAAGCCTACAGAGGCAGGGTGCAGGGTACTAGTCCCCGAGGTTCTCCTGTCACTTGCCTACACTACTTTTGAGGAGGAACCCAGGCCTACTTGTGGCAGTGGTAAACCCTAGAACCTGGGCAGTGACTAACACAGTAGGGAACTCAGTTAAGGAACCAAGGATTGAGTGTTGAAGTCACATATTAAGCTGGAGGAATTGTGTGTGCAGCCATCAGCTCAGCTAAGACCTCAGCAGAGCCATGCTGCCTCCCACTTCTTTCCTGCTCCCCTGGTGGCTCATACATGGAAGACTCTAGGAGGGAGGGATTGAGGTCCATCTGGGGTCTTCTGCAGCTACACACTCACCCAGCGAAAGGGCAGAGAGGGCCGTGGCCACACTGAGTGGAGACAGCAGCACATTGGCAGCGGGGCTTGCACTGGATCTCATGCGGTACAGGTCATAGCCAAAGTTGGAAACGGCAGCTGCCAGCTTGTTGACAGGGACCTTGAAGAAGGGATCCTCCTCCTCCACTGGTTCCCCTGTGCTGTCAGGGGCAGCTGGGGAGCCCTGGATTAGAGCACAAGGACAAGTTGGGAGGCACAATGAATGACATCTCCTGGCTCTGGGGTTGTCCTCTGATCCCTAGGGTCCCTTAGCGTTTGGTTGGAATGAGTGCATGTGCTCCTTGACTGTACAAAAGCTCTGTGCTAGGGAGAGGCAGCCCAGAAAGACAAGTTGGGTTTAAACACTGTAACCTGTGAGCCAGGAGCCTGACCCACTTTTTTTTTTTTTTTAAGATTGATGTTTTATTTTTTTTAAATAAATTTTATTATTTTTATTTTATGTGTATGCGTGTATTGCCTGCATGGAGGTCAGTGCACCCGTGTTGTGCATTGCCCTCAGAGGTCAGAAGAGGCTGTTGGATCCCCTGGAACTGGAGTTACCGACAGTTGTTAGCTGCCATGTGGGTGCTGGGATTCAAACCTGGGTCTTCTGCAAGAACAACCAGTGTTCTTAACTGCTGAGCCATCTCTCCAGCCCTGATATTTTATTTTTTAATTATGCATATATGTCTGTGTGTGGATATGTGCACTTGTTTGTATATGGGTGCCAGAGATATTGGATCCCCCTGAAACTGGACTTAAAAGCAGTTGTGACCTACCTGATGTGAGTGCTGGGAACCAAACTCAGGTCCTCTACAAAAGCAGTACCCACTCTTGACCCCAGAGCCATCTCTCCAGCCAAAAATT